TAGGGACCTGTGTTTAGCATAGTAAGCTGTAGCATGATTATTGCTTATATTTGTATACCATGTTATCATAGTGCTCTGTCATTCTTTTTAAGATAATTTTTAGTTGTTGACTGACTTTTATGCCTCGAGATGGTGCTTGAACTTCAAAAATAAATTCTTTTCCTGGGGCACTGTGCATTTCTACTGGTAACCAATTGGTGATTGAAGGCTACTAAGTGTCAAATTTGAAAGGATTTGAGCTCAGAGCCTTAAAAAAAGTTATCTAGGATATATATATATATTAACTTGATTCTTACATTCCAAATTTTTATACAATTGTTTAAGTGACACTTATGGCCAATTTCAGATTTGTGGAAGGATGCATGGAGAAAGTGAACATGGGGTATGACAAAGAGAAAGCAGTGGAAAGTATAGTTAGGGAACTTTTCACTGGTCAAAGCACTGCAATACCAGTAAGATGTTTTTTATTTTTTTTCACATTATTAGACTACTTTCAACACCTCTGAGCCTAACCTGGATTATGACATTTCTTCTTAAAGTGTTGATCATTAATATCTTAAGCATCTTCATTCCTCTCTATACGTTGCAAAGGCTGCATAACACCACCCAAAGAACTGTGAAAATGAATATATTTATTGCTGAAGAAACTGCCTTTGGATTAGAGCAAAAGCTATTTCAATGATGACTTGGCTGTGGCAGATATAGAGTACCATATGTAAAATTTCTTTGCTTATGGTTTATAAGGAGTAGTCCTGTGTGACTTACAAGTTATTTCTTTAATAAGAAGTTGGGGAAAACTTTAATTATTAACTTCATCTTTAACTCATTTAAAAGATGCTGCATATTTGCATCCAAAATTATGTATCAATTAAGCATTCAAGTAATTACTTGCAAATAATGAATTATGTGAGATAATTTGGTTGTATCAACTGGAGTTGGTAATGTAAATTGACTACCATAAAGTTTCTAAAGCTGACATTTTGGATGTTAGTTTGTTGTCCTTTGTTCTGAGGAAGGGCTAATGCTTGAAACATTGGCTTAAGAAATTCTTTAGGGTGGCCAATTTAGATTATCAACTCAGGTGATGAAACCAAATTATCTTATCATATCCCCCACTGATGCAGCACCAAAGTTTCAAGGGAAACATAGCCCCTTTGATGAATTATTGAGTAAACCTTTCACAAAGTGTGAGCTATACACACAAGAACAGGTTCGCATCAATCATCTGTAAGGATACCTGGTCCTGGTTGTTCAAGGATTGGATAACACTATCCACTAAGTAAATCTCTATCCAGTGGATAACACTATATGTTTTGCTATCACTTATCCACCAGATAGCAATTTATCCACTGGATAGCATTATCCACCCTTTATGCAACTGGCGCAGTACTGTAAATTTTAAGTTTACTGTTTTATTTTACTTTTATTTGCAAGGATACTGTGTCTGAGGACTGAAGAGTTTTCCCCTCACATGTGGATAAATAATATTACAGAAAATTGGATTTTCCAACAGGTGATCTCAAGAAGTTTCCATCAGTCATCTAAGCAGTTATTTAACCTTGAGGGAAATTTGTGTAGGAGCTATGAAATCATGAATTTAACTTCAACAGAAACGGAAGGAACAACAACATTTCCAAGATGCAACCATAGGTAGTTGAGATGTTTTAGTTTCTGAGCCTTCAATGTTGTTGAGACATTGTGAAAATTTCTGTCCCAAAAATATACAAGTCCTTTGCTGTTATGGTTTTAGGAACTATTTGTCTTATGGGTATGATAAGAACTTTTTCCTTAAAGCTTTTTGAAAAATGTAATTCAAATACCCAAATTAAAAGAGCAGATGTTTGGTGTCACAAAGACACCATCTGAAGAAAAGATTCTGTTGTATGTCCATGAACATCCAGAATTTTAAAAAACGTTTCTCTAAAAAATCAATATTATTGCTGTGTTTAAGGGTTGCCTTTGTAAACTACGTATTATTTAACCCTTCAACTCACCATTGTTTTAACTAAAATGACCACAGTTCTAAAATAATAGATTTTTATTATTTAAAAAATCTCAACCAGTGTACATGTATGATATACACCAACTTCTTTGCCATAGCCTACCATGTAGTTTTTCCGACAGATAAGGGATTATAACAAGTGATAGTTTGGACTAAGGCAACGGGAGAATCATGGATGCTCTAGAACTTATACAGTAAATGGCAGCCTTAATATTACAAGTTTTACATACTGTTAGTGAAATATTCTTTACATTGTGTTGTAATTGAGATCTCAATTGCTACCATACTGAGGAGAATTTTGAATGTTGCAAAACTGACCTCTCTGATGAAAGATTACTGAATGAGAGTGTACAAATCTCTGAATGTGCCATCAGTAACAATGAAGGTTTAATGAGTGGCTCCAAACATGCAATTTGATTTTACACTGAATGAAGATGTCACCTTCTCTTAAACATTAGACAACCCAGAAGAATTAAATACTTAATCTTGAGCACTTCATATATTATCCTATAGTTTGATGTGTCCATTCTGTTTCATGACCTAAACAACACCGTTGCCATTTGCTAGACCGTTTGGTAGACTGGTCGGTAGTGTTTTCTCTTCAAGCAATTCCTTCAACATCTTGATACACATGTGCAAGCAACGAGGAACGTGAAAACAGCCTGTGATAAATATATAAGCATTTTGTGAGTTATTTATTAAGGCTAACTGTGCAACTATGTGAAGTAGTGCATACTGTTTTTTCAGTTATTTTGAATTGTGACAGACTGGGTTAAGAATTAACACAGAATAGGACTGTGTTTCTTGAATTTATTGCTCTGAAGGACTCAGTGGCAGATCCAGAGGGAAGGTATGGGGGTTGCATACACACCCCCACCCTCTGCTCCAAGTTTCTGTCATACCTGTGGGTTCGTTTTACTACATGTCTGACACCAGAATTCTTGAAGCGACAAGAACGCATTGTAGCACTCAAATGGCAAGGCAAGCGGAAGGGTTGGGGGCGGGCGTTGCGGTGGATCTACCCCCTGGCATCGTATTGCCTCTTTGGCATCCGTGTCAATCTTTTCCATTATTGAACTGCTTCGCTCTGTTTTGTATTAATCTTGACCCTGAAGCGTCTGTCAACCCTGACAAACAATTATTTGACAGTTCCCTTCCGTTTATCCACAACTGTTAACGACGTAAAATAATTAAATACAATCGGGTAGCGCCTTGAAAAGTTGTCTTACAAACGTACCTTTAAACGGTCCTCCTTTGAAGGTGTGTGTCACTTCTCCTTTCTGATTGAGATATCCAAACCACTCACCGTATTGTGAATCTGAAAACTGAGAGGAAACGGGTTATTGGGCAGATTGCTAGGATATTATAGGGAGAAGTTTCATGTTAATCATTTCTAGGTGTTAAAGGGTTAATTGATAAGCCCAGTATTTACATGCGAGAATGTGTACTGGAATACGAGGTCGAACTTCTCCATAAAGCGTTCCTCTCTAGTCTCCTTGTAAGCCATGAGGAGTGCAATCAGTGCCTCCGCATGAGGCCACCAAAGTTTCATGTTCCACTCCAGCTGTGTTGGCGAGAAGCCACTTGCATCCAAGTAATAAAGAATCCCGCCGTACATGTCATCCCATCCTGTGTCAAATGACTGAACTATAAACTTGTCGATGGCAATTCTTGCCAGTTCGTCGTTTTGTGTACGTGTAGCATACTGCAGGAGAAACCATCCAGCTTCAATGGCGTGTCCTGGATTGATTAGTCGACCTTCTGCACCAGATATCTCTTTTCCTTCTTCTGTGACTTTTTCTAATACCACTCTACCCTTTCTCTAGGATTGAAGGAGTTAATCGAAATTATTCCTACGCTGGTACAAGTTAGAGGAGTTCTGTAAGTGATTTACAACATTGTTTCTCATAACCCCATAGGAAGAAAGATGTATGATTTAAAGAATTTTGTTCACATCTCGGTACTCGTGTTTGCTTTAATCAAATTCAAAGCATTTAGCTTGCTCTGAAATTGTGGCGAAAGAATGCTGTCCCAGGTCACTGATTTGGTTTTTGTCAACTAAGCTGATAATACAAGTTGGACACAGTAAAGAATTTCTAAAGCTGAAGTTTTTAGTGTTGGCCTTGCGTTGTCATTAGTTACGTGCCATTTTGAGAAAGTTATCGCACTTTGTTGGTGGGACTTCTTTGGAATCACTCCGCGTGTGTTTCACTTGGATTCACTTTGATTTTGTTTTCAAGACACTTAATCAAAAGCACTGTAAATGTCAATTTGTACAGTTTACCTGTAAGTGCTTTAAAATCTGCTGCACGGCCCACTCTTCATCTTCAATGTACGCCTGACGGAGCTCGTCGTCTTCGCGGCAAACCTCGTCGATCACATACAACAACATCATTGGTACAGCCAGGGGATTTGCTGCCTCCTGGCCCGACAGCTTGGGTCGGCCAAGCTGCGTGTCATCAATTCGTGCCCAATGTGTTACTAGGGACAGCATCCGTACAGCTTCCTCCTGAAATTAAATTGATGCATGATTTTCTGAGCACGTCTTCATTGCTCAGCACAATCGCTCGAGCCAAGTGGTGCATTTCTCGCTTTACATAACTTCTAGTAAGGGGGAGAATTGCTGCTCCTATGGAATGGGTTCTCAGTTCACTGAAAGCTACCCCACCCCAAGCATTGATACTTTTTCGTCATATTTAGGTATTCTTGTTCACTCCCTAGTTCAGAGAGCGCCTAGATTGCCTCTCTCAAGAACATGTCTCTATTAATTCGTTTTTAGTATTTCTCTAGCAAAGCCCCCTATGGTAACATAACATGGTGCAATAAGAATGAGACAGTTCTGTGGCACATTGTCAGACTCAATCAAATGTTGCTTCAGTTTCGTCCACTCTTGTTGATTGTCCTCCCAAAGCAGTTCGACAAAGAAGCGCAGTGTTGTTTATTGTGTACCTATCCTCGTTCCTACCTTATACTTAATAAGGTTACTAGCTCGATACAGCTCAGCCATCGCTATCGCATAGAAACACTCAGTGAAGATTGTCCTCTGAATCTTAATTGGCTTCCCTTCAGCTGTGACTTGAAAGTAACATCTCCCATCTTCAGGATTTTTAATATGATTTAACAAAAATTCGCCACCTGAAATTGCAGGAAATAAAAATTTCTTCATACTAGCGTTTTATTGGAATTTGCGAGCATGCCATGTTTTTCCAGCATCGTAAATTATTCTGTAAGTTACCTCTTAACTTTGACACAGGTAGCCCAGGAGCCACTTAGCCACACCCCTTTTTTAAGTTTCCCACCACGTATTATATAGTTATGAAAATTGCTCAACATGGGCAACACTCCAAACTGGAAGGCATTGAAATTGAGCAATTCGCAAGAAGAATTTTAATCGCATTTTACCGCTTTGAATAACCACTTTTTCACGCAAATTTGAAAGAGAAAGTAGTCGGTAAAATCAAATCTGACTATCGCTTCTTTGTCCTTTCTTGTCGTTACCTGATAGTGCAGCTTTAAGGATCTTCACCTTGCCGTATTTCCAAGACTCGTTGTAAAGTTTAGAGTACATCCATACCTACAGTGAAAAATACTTTATAAATATGATATTTAAGAGAAAGTCAGGGACAAATGCATTACATCTCTAAATTCATTTCAGGTAATTAAAGCTAAGTCATGGCTCATAATCTCAATGCAAGCAATTTCTGCCCCACTCTCTCAATACCTTTGGAACTTAAGAATTATTTAGTGTTTTTTCAATAGGTTTTAAAAGTATCACAGGGGCAGTTGTATGGAAAACTGCGCCCTTTTCAGTTTTAAAGTACCTCAGAGATCTTAGTCCCCCAATTTGACAACTACGTTGAGTTTTAACTTAAGAATCTGTGTAGAGTTTTGTACCAATCAAGTTCTGAGTCAACTGAGTCGTATTAGATTCTTGTTAACATAGCACCTTACTGAATTGTAGTACACTTTCAAAACTTGCGGAAAAAGACAAATATCGCTGCCTGGCGTGAGTCCTTTAGCAATCACAATAATGGGCTCGTGGTTTTGTTAATCAGCAATTACTTCGCTCCTTGCCTTCTAGCCAATCAAATCACGGTAGTGCCTCTATCAGTTTTGGAGTGTTCTCCCGCGCTTAGCACGGGTTTGCTTTGTTTCCTTCGACCTCTGATTGGTTAATCTCATTAGCATGGATTTTATTTTTTTGTGATTGGCTAGATGTCGACGTTGCTATGAGCATTTGATGATTAAAAAAAACTAACATACGAATAGATTTTCAATCGTACAGCGAGACTAACCTGTCTGCCTTCAAGCCAGCCGTACTTAGAGTCATCGTAAACTTTGCCATCTCTAGCGAGACATACATAATAACCGCTACAATCGAAAAACAGCCAAAAGGTTAGAGTTTATTTGAAATGCTTTTTATTTAAAGATAAACAGGATTTACTCCCGCATTAATAGCTAAACAAGTCGAATGCGTTGTTTGCCATATCCTTGATATATTTTAGGGAGGTATTAGCAGAGTTGAGACGACGTAAACGGAAAAACACACACACGTCTTTGCATGCAATTTCTTAGAGGAGAGTAGTATCAAAGCAATAAAATAAACATATCTACCTAGATAAGAGAAAGAAAATCTATGGCTCTCGTAACTGTCCTGCACATTTTGGTTTGCGCTGATAGAGCTCACAGAGACAAAAAGAAAAATAATAAAACCAGTAATTGCTTTAGGGTTAGGGTTACAAAAGTTCGCACTTTAAGGAGGATATTGTGTATTTTGAGAGAATCCATAACTTAACGAAGTGCAGGACTCTTCTACACAAGTGGAAAATAAATGGAAAAATTGACGTGACCGAAGGAGCGTGAAACGTACTCCTTTACCATAGTAACGACATTCTTTGTTTCTACGGTAACTTCGAGATGTAAGCCTCAATGATCACAAGTGTTTAGGCTTAGGTTAAGTCAACTGTAGCCTCATTAGTACGTAATTGTGATTCTTTTGAGGTTTAAATTAAATGTAAGTTCAATATCCGCGCACAATATTTTGGCTCTGTATATGCTGTTGTCAATATTGGACTTAAACGTCGAAATGCTCGATGTAAACTCATGAGTGGAATTTTAAGCAAGGACAATACTTAAACAATACCGTTTACTCTACTTAACAATGAAAAGTTAAATTTGGTGCGTTTATTACATTTAATTCCTAATCGGTTCCCAAGTTAGATCGAAATTACTCAGTTAGTCGGTGGATAAACTCAAGTGTTACATCATGAGATTTTCAAATTGCAATTGGAAAGGTTATGTTAGAAGGGTCTATGGTAAGGCTTGTCCATCTTAAAAAATTTAGGCTAAACTGAACGATGTCACCCTTCACAAACCTTTTCAATCTTCTCCATCCTTAGTCACCCTTGTTTCTTTTTGGTTTTTATTGCTTTATTTGAGTATTTCTGTGCTACATAATTAATATTTTATAGTCTCCTTCAAATTCAATTAAGTTTAAC